AACAAAATGGCAATGAATACATATCTATCAACAATGGAATCTACAAACAAAATGAACAGGTAGAACAGAAACATTCTCATAGATGCAGAGAACATTTTGTTGGTTGCCAGATGGGAGGGGGGTTGGGGGAATGGGTGAAAAAGGTGAAGGGATTAAGAAGCACAAATTCGTTGCTAGACTGACAAACCTCAAAGGGAAAGGGGTTGGGGGGGTGGGGAGAAATAAACCAAAGAACTTATATGCATAACCAATGGACACAGACAGTAGTGTGGGAAAAGGTGGGAGGAGGGCGGGAGTGGGGAGGAGGGGGTCAATGGGGGAAAAATGTGGAACATCTGTAATACATTTTACATGCAACAATAAAGATGTGAAAAAAAGAAAAAAGAAAAAAAGAAAACTTCCCTAACCTGGTAAAGGGAAAAATCACAAATGGCCAGGAAAACACAGAGAGTTCCAATCAAGATGAATCCAAAAGGACCCACATATAGACACATCATGATTAAAACGGCAAAGATTAAAGACAAAGATAAAATCTTAAAGGCAGCAAGAGAGAGTCAGAAAGTTACCTACAAGGGAGCTCCCATTAGACTGTCAGCTGATTTCTAAATAGAAATAATGCAGGCCAGAAGGGAGTGGCATGAAGTACACAAAGTAATGAAAAGCAAAGGTCTGAATCCAAGACCGCTCTATCTAGCAACATTATCATTTAAAATTAAAGGTAAAATAGAGAGCTTCACAGACAAAAAAGGTCTAAATTTACTATCACCAAATCAGCAGCACTACAAGAAATGCTAAAGGGACTGTTCTAAGAAAAAGAGAGAGAGAGAGAGGAACAAAAGCATAAAGAATAAAAATGGCAATAAATAAGTAGCTATCAATAATAACCTTAAATGTAAATGGCTCAAATGCTCCACCAAAAGACATAGGATAGCCCTGGCTGGTTTTCTCAGTGGTTAGAGTGTCGGCCCACAGACCAATGAGTTGCAGGTTCAATTCTGGTCAAGGACATATATCTTGGTTGCAGTTTGTCCCCAGCTCTGGTAGGGTCATGTGGGAGGCAACCAGTCAATGTGTTTCTCTCTCATCAATGTTTCTCTCTCCCACTCCCTCCTACTCTATCTGATAATAAATAGAAAAATATCCTGAGGTGAGGATTAAAAAACAACAACAAAAACATAGGTAGCTGAATGGATAAAAAAACATGACCCATATATATACTGTCTATAAGAGATCCATCTCAGAAAAAAAGACTCACACAGGATGAAAGTAAAGGGACGGGAAAAATATTTCCACACAAATGAAAACAACAACAAAATAGCTGGTATAGCAATACTCATATCTAAGAAGACTTTAAAATGAAGGCCATAATAAGAGACAAAGAAGGTCACTACATAATATGAAAGAGTTCACCCAAGAAGAGGTTATAACCATGGTGACCATATATGCACCAAATATAGAAGCATATACATTTTAAAATATATTTAAAAACTTCTGGAGGACTTCAAGGGAGAGATCAACAGCAATACAATCATAGTAGGGAACTTTAACTCCCCAGAGACATCACTGGATAGATCTTCTAGATAAAAAATTGACAAGAAAACAGAGACCCTAAATGACGCACTAGATCGGCTAGATTTAATTGATATTTACAGCACATTTCACTCCAAAGTTGCAGATATACATTCTTCTCAAGTGCACATGGGACATTCTCAAAGACAGACCACATGTTAGGACACAAACTAAGTCTCTACAAGTTCAAGAAGATTGAAATCATATCAAGCATCTTCTTGGATCACAATGGCATGAAACTAGAAATCAATTACAATAAAAACATTCAAACACATGGAGGCTAAATAGCCATGTTATTAAAACAATGAATGGGTTACTAACGAGATCAAGAAAGAATTCAAAAACTTCCTGGAAATTAATGAAAATGAACACACAAAAGCACAAAAGGTATGGGACACAGCAAAAGCAGTCCTGAGAGGGAAGTTCATAGCAATACAGGCCTTCCCCAAGAAACAAAAAAATTTCTGACAAGCTATCTAACCCTAAAACATAAAGATTTAGAACAAAAAGAAAAACCCAGTTAGTAGAAGAATGGAAATAATAAAGATCAGAACAGAAATAATTGACATAGAGATTAAAAAATACAAAAGAGGAATTAAACCAAGAGCTGGTTCTTTGGAAAGATAAACAAGATTGCTCAACCTTTAGTCAGACTCACCAAGAAACAATGAGACAGGACTCAAATTAATAAAATCAGAAACAAAAGAAGTAACAACGGACACCACAGGAATACAGAGGACTGTAAGAAAATACTATGAACAATTATATGCCAACATATTTCATAATCTAGGAAAATGAACAAATTCTTAGATTCACAGTGTCTTCCAAAACTCAACTGGGAAGGATCAGAAAACCTGAACAGACGAATAACAATTAAGGAAATAGAAGCAGTAATCAATAAACTCCCAGCAAACAAAAGCTCTGGTCTAGACGGCTTCAGAGGAGTTTTACCAAACATTCAAAGAAGAACTAACACCTATTTTCCTCAAATAATTGCAAAAAAATTCAAGAGGAAGGAAGACTTCTAAATTCTTTTTATGAGGCCAGCATAATCCTAATCCCAAAAAGAGATAAAGACACTATATAAAAAGAAAAATCCAGACCAATATCCCTGATAAACCTCAAAATACTCAACAAAATTTTAGCAAATTTGATCCAGCAATATATTTTAAAAATTACATACCACAACAAAGTGGAATTTATCCCAGGGATGCAAATCAAGAAATGTGACCCACCACATAAACAAAATGAAAGATAAAACTCATAGGATCATATCAATAGATGTTGAAAGAGCATCTGACAAAATCCAGCACCCAATTTTTATAAAAACTCTCAGCAAAGTGTGAATAGAAGGATCATTCCTCAACATAATAAAGGTCATATATGATAAACCTACAGCCAACATCACACTCAATGGGCAAAAACTGAAAGCATTTAGGATGTCTGTTTTTGGCACTCTTATTCAACACAGTACTGTAAGTCTTAGCCACAGCAATTAGACAAGAAGAAAAAATTAAAAGACATCCAAATTGGAAAGGAAAAAGTAAAACTGTCATTATTCACAGATGACATGATATTGTATATAGTAAACCATAAGGACTCCATCAAAAAAACTAGTAAATTTGGCAAACTAGCAGGATACAAAATTAACATCCAGATATGGTTGGCATTTTTATACACCAACAATTAACACACAGAAAGAGAAACTAAAGAAACAATCCCATTTACCATTGAAACAAAAAAATTAAGATACCTGGGAATAAACTTAACCAAGGAGGTAAAGGATCTGTTCTCAGAAAACTACAGGACATTGAAAAAAAAGAGGAAGATATAAAAAAGTGGAAGCATATACCATATTCATGAACTGGAAGAATTAATATCATTAAAATGTCCATACTACCCAAAGCAATCTATAGATTTAAGGCAATCCTTATTAAAATATCACTAGCATACTTCACAGATCTAGAAGAAATACTCCAAAAGTTTATATGGAACCAAAAGAGAGCCAAATAGTCACAGCAATCTTGAAAAAGAACAAAGTTGGAGGATCACAATTCCGGACATCAGATACTACAAAGCAACTGTAATCAAAACAGTCTGGTACTGGCACAAAAAAAGGCATATAGATCAATGGAACAGAAGAGAGAATCCAGAAATCGACCAAAGACATTATGCTCAATTAATATTTGACAAAAGTGGCAAGAATACACAATGGAGCAAAGAGAATCTCTTCAATAAATACTGCTGGGAAAATTAAACAGCTACCTGCAAAAAAATGAAATAAGACCATCAATTTACACCACACACAAATAAACTCAAATGGATAAAAGACTTAAATGTCACTCCTGAAACCACAGGCACCAATATCTCAGACATCACACAGAGCAGAATTTTCACCAATGGCAAGAGAAACAAAGGAAAAAAATAATAAATGGGACTACATCAAGCTTTTTAGCTTCTGCACAGCAAAAGAAACCAGCATCAAAATGAAAAGGAAACCCAATGTATGGGAGAACATATTTGCCAATGATATGTCGAATAAGGAGTTAATTTCCAGAATATATAGAGTAGTCATACAACTCAACAAAAGGAAGACAAACAATTCAATTGAAAAATGGGCAGAGTGCCTGAATAGACACTGCTCCAAACACGACATACAAATGACCAAGAGACATATGAAAAAATGCTCAACATCACTAATCATCAGAGATGCAAATTAAAACGACTATGAAGTATCACCTCACACCTGCCAGAGTGGCTGCCATCAATAAATTAAGCAACAAGTGCTGACAAGGATATAGAGAAAGGATACTCTAGTACACTTCTGGTGGGAATGCAGACTGGTATAGCCACTATGGAAACCAATATGTTGTTGCCTCCAAAAATTAAAAATGTAACTGTCATCTGACCCAGTAATCCCACTTCTAGGAATATATCCTAAGAAGCCTGAAACACCAATCAGAAAGAATATATGCACTCCTATGTCTATAACAGCACTATTTATAATAGCTATGTCTGAAAACAGCCCAAGTGTCCATCAGTAGATGAGTGGATAAAAAAGCCGTGGTTCATTTACACAATGGAATACTATGTAACTGTAAGAAAGATAGATCTCTTACCCTTTGAGACAACATGGAGGGACCTGGACAGTATTATGCTAAGTGAAATAAACTAGTGAGAGAAAGACAAATATCACATGATCGCACTTATTTGTGGAATATGCTAAACAAAATAAGCTGATGAACAAAACAGATCCAGAGACATGGAAGTAGGGATCAGACTGACAAACCTTTGGGGGGGGGGTGAGACAGGCGGGTGTCACGAGGGGGAACATCTTTAATACTAAAAAATTTAAGTATTAAAAAAATAATAAAATAAAATTAAGACATAAAAATCTATCATTCATAACAAACTATTCACATTCTATTTACCTCCTGTATTACTGACTGTTGGCTCAGGAGTGAGTCTCCCATCATGAATATTAGCGCTTTCCTCATCAGCATATATCAGATGATCATCTTCTCTATTTTCCGGCCACTGTGGTACCTCTCTCGTGTCTGTTGAGCAGCTGCATACATCTTCATTCTTGTTGAAGTATCTCTGTAACCATCCTGGCACAATATTCTTAACAGATTCTGTAACCCTGCTAAGAATGCCCTGTTAGGGGGAAAAACATGTAAGGCAGTTTTAGAAATTTATCTTTTTAAGTAAGTACCAACTTACAAAAAAACCACACCAAGAAAAGCACAATTTTTTCCCAATGAAGTTTCCTAAAATTCAGTTATTTGAATTAATGCTGACATAATGGTATTTTACAAATTCTATACACAAATTCCTTTTTCTTTCTTTCATATGCATATATCAATGAGTCAATAATTAGCCCAAATGGCCATTCTAGAATCTTTAAGAAATTCCAATAGGCCACCAAATAAGTAATAAAATGTAAATTTAGTAATAAGATATGTACTAAAATGTTATAATCTGAGAAAAGGCATCCCTTTTGATCTGAGCATATTAAAGGAAGCAATATAAACAATAACTTCAGCCCTGGCCAGTTTGGCTCAGCGGTTAGAGCGTCGGCCTGCAGTCCGGAGAGACCCGGGTTCATTTCCCGCTAAGGGCATGTACCTTGGTTGCAGTTTGTCCCCGGCCCTGGTTGGTCATGCGGGTGGCAGCCACTCGATGTGTCCCTTCACGTCGATGTTTCTCTCTCTCTCCCCCTTCCTCTCTCTCCCTCCCGCTCTATCTGTATAAAAAATGGAAAAATATCCTCGGGTGAGGATAAAAAATATATATATATATATAAAAAAAAACAACAATAACTTCAATAGCTTCCTCAAGCAATTATTTTACTGCATGTTCTTTTTGTTAATCCTCACTCGAGGATATTTTTCCCATTGATTTTTACATAGAGTGGGAGGGAGAGTAAAAAGGGAGAGAGAGACACATCAATGTGAGAGAGACACATTGACTGGTTGCCTCCTGTACAACCCCAACTGAGGCCAGTGATCAAACCTCCAACCCAGGTATGTGTCCTTGATCAGGAATTAAACCCACAACCTTTGGTCCATGGACCAATGCTCTAACTGCTGGGCCAAACCAGCCAGGGCAATTGCACATTCTTTAAAAAAAAGAACAAAAATTTAGACAAATAAAAACGAGGAGACTTTTTGTTTTTTAAAAAGACAGGCAATAGAACAACATAATCTAACATCATAAACTCAAGAAATAATCTAAGATGTTTTTCTGTTGTAAAATTTCTTTATACCACATATTGCCTGAAAATCTGAGAAATAAGTTTTATTATGGCAACTTTTAAAGGAAGAAAAAATGCAGTATAACTTCTATCAGTATTAACAATTAGTGTAGCTTTGCTATGTGCTAGGCACATTCTAAGCAGTTTATACTTATTATTCTATTTAATCCTCACAATACTTGAATGAAGTTGGTATTAATAGTGCCACTTTATGAATGAAGGGACAATGAAGTAAAATAACTTTCCCCCGATACAAACACAACCACTATGGTATATCTAGGATAGAGTAAAAGCATAGGTGGGGACTGGCAGGACCTCCCTGAGCTTTAACTCTAAGCAAAATAAGAGCAACACCCCCTCCTGCTATTACCTAATATGAATTATAATGATGATCCAATGAAATTATGTGAAAGCAGTTTGCAACTTACAAAATATAACAAACATATACTAATAATTTTATTACTAATGGGGGGAGGGGGATGAGAAGAAACAAACAAGCGAGGCAACTAATTTTAGGCAACAATACCTTCCTAAAACAGCATTAGTAGAATTTCAGAGAAAAGGTTGGGGAAGGGGAAAATGAGTTGGCAGGTACAATAAACAATAAAATCAAGGTAGAATACATAAATCAACCATGAAAGCAAAACCAAGGCAAAGAGGCCCTGAAAAATCCTGTCAACAGAAAAGATGGAAGACACCTCCGATATAGGCACTTGAATACTATTTTCTCTATTGAGTAAAAAAGTGTAGGTAACAACTGGGAAATACGTAATTATTTTTCCCTGCATTCTCTAAACAGAAATTTAACTAGATCTATAGCATAAGCTCTCTAGCAACACATAAAGCCAACAGCCCTAGAATAATCACTACTGAAAACACAACTTCACCATCCCCCTTTTCTATGCTAATGTTACATGGTATTAGTTACTTTGGAAACAAAGATTATAAACCTACATCCAAATGTAATATTCATTAAAAAAAAATACACATAATATTTATAGTTTTTACTTATTACTTATACTTAATTACCCCCTCCTTATATTTCAAAATACTCAAAAGTGCTTACAAACTATGACATAGTTTAAATAAGACTTGAAAAATCTAAGACACATATTTGATATGAAATGATAAATTAGCTAAAGCACTATAGCAATAATTTAGTGTAAAATAAGCCTTTTGTGGATTGCCTCTAAGGTGTTTAGCTACTAAACGTATCAGAGATTCCTGTGATCCCTACTCAACTGAGGCGAGTATAGAACTTAAGTTAATACCATACTTAACCAAAGGGCACGTACGTCTGTGGCAGCATTAGATACCGTGGAGAATAATTGGTGATCAAAACTAAACAGTCAAAATGGGTATAATAAAGCTCATGAACTTTGCTTGGAGATCTTCTCTTTTCTAAACTAAACTTCAACCAATTTATCTATAGCAGCCCACAGCAGCTTAGAATAAGATAACGGCAGGGGGAGAGGGGGGCACTTTACTGGCACAATGAATGACAGCAGGAAGAGCTTGACAGTAAAAAGAAATACAGATAATAAAACTGACCTGGAACCATTACAAGAAAACAAACATGCCTATACTTCAGTATACCTTTGTATAGTAAGTGACCCTAAGTAATCAAGAAAAGGTAAATTAAGTTCAGTATACTCTAGTACTAGTGGTCCCTTCACCAATAATATCAGCATTATCTCAGACTCTATCCCAGCCCTTCAAAACTCAGGAGCTAGGGCTCACCTGTTTTAACAAAAGCTCCCAAGTGATTCTGATGTATGCTGAAGCCTGAGAACCACTGTTCTAGTTAGAGATTAGGAAATCAGATACATTTAACAAAATTATAATACGTTTTAGGAAAAAAGTCCCTCTACAAGAGGTTAATGAAAGTATGTATACTTAAAAGTCTTAGATTCATTTATCTGGAAAACATACAATGTGGAGCACATTATATGACAACAATTAAAATACAGGGTGGGGCCCTGGCCAGTTTGGCTCAGGGTTACAGCGATGGTCCTCGGACCAAAGGGTTGTGGGTTTGATTCCTGCTCAAGGGTTGCAGATTCCTGCTCAAGGGTTGCAGGTTCAATCTCCAGACCCAGGTCAGGGTCTTACAGCAGGTAATCAACTGATGTGTCTCTCACATCAATGTCTCTCTCGATGTCTCTCTCTCTCTCCCCCTCCCTCCTTTCCTCTCTTTCACTCTATCTAAAAAAATCAATGAAAAATATTTTCAGGTGAGGATGAACAAAAAATAAAAATACAGGGTGGGGCAAAAATAGGTTTACAGTTGTGACTAAGCAAAACACAGTTTATTCTTGTATTAACTTAATTATTGTATTATTTTCCATACAAACTGTAAACCTACTTTTGCCCCATCCAGAGTAATAAAATATTCTAAAATGAATGATAAAAACAAATAACGTAGACTGTGAATACAATGCGACTTATAGAACTATTTCCACAGTGTTTTTGAAACTGGCCATGATTTTTACCTGTACTATTATTTAATGATTTTCTTTCTATTCCCTCATTTCTCTTAATAAACTTAGTTTTTCCTGCACAATAAAACGTATCCGTTCACAGATCTGATGCTATGCTGGTCTTCACTTGCCCCTCCCTCACTCTATTCTTGATAGGCAGTCCCACAAAACTGGCTTCTGTAAGGACTGGCCTAAGAGACATACCAGAGCAGCAGTTCTCAACCTGTGGGTCACGATCCCTTTGGGGGTCGAACGACCCTTTCACAGGGATCGCTAAAGACCATCAGAAAACACATATTTCCGATGGTCTTAGGAACTGAGACACCGCTCCTCTATCCATCTCCAGGCGGGTCCGCCCACATACAACAGGAAGGAACTGTATTAAAGGGTCACGGCATTACGAAGGTTGAGAACCACTGTACTAGAGGATACCAGATATTCGAGGATGGGAGGGAAGAGAATTTTTTAGTGCCCTTCCTCCAAAACTAGTTCCAGCAAGGTGACTCCTTCTCCACTCCAGTTCCTCCATTTCTTCCCTTTATCCTTCCAGTCCTAGGGATGGTAGCAGCTTCTGCTACTGCTAGTCTCTGGGACTCACGCTATCCTGTATTTATTCCTTTCACCTCAAGCATATCTCTAAGTAGACTCTCTTAAAAAGATACTTCCGTTGAACCATCAGAGTGAATTATTTCTTAGTAGGTTCCTGTGCTACCCACCCCCCCTTTTTTTGATCTAATTAATATGAAAAGTAAAAAGTCAGTTCATGCTGTCAGATTCATCTTCTTCATCAACAACGGAACACATGAACCATACTTTGGGAAGTACTCTTAACTACCCAAAAGTGACATCCAATCTTTATCTCTGTAAAAACAAAAGTACACTAATAGGCCAGAAAAGAGGCTCTACTTTGGTGAATATTTTAGAATCTTATCTAATTCATGGATGTAAAGGCAGTCACTGCTTTTCTTCACTCAATTCATTCAGTCAGTATTTATTGGTCTCATACACATGTCAGGCACAGAACACTGAGAAGACAGCAAGGATCAAGTTTCTGCCTCCGAATTTATATTTAAGTTAGGGAGACAAATGAACAAACTAGCAAATGTAATATGCAACATATAATGATTCAGTGCTACAGACAAAAACAAAGCAGGGAAGCAAAAGAGGATAGGTAATTTATATAAGCAAAGACCTATAAAAAGTGAGGAATGAGACATGCAAATTTCTAGTGGAGATTATAAATTGAGAGAACAAAAAGTGCAGACTCAAATATAGGAGTGTCCTTGGTACATGCTGACCAAGCTTCTAGTGACCTTTTTAATAAATGCAAAATCTAATAAACCTTAAATAACTATCCTTCAAAATTCCCCTGTAATCATGTGTGTGTGTATGTGTGTGTGTGAATCCACGTGTAACCTTTT